CTCTCTCTCTCTCTCTCTCTCTCTCTCTCTCTCTCTCTCTCTCTCTTCTCTCCCTTCGTTCTCTTCTCCTCTCTCGTTCTTCCTTCCCTCCCTCCCTCTCTCCCTCCCTCCCTTCCTCTCCTCCCTCAACCCCAATAGCATTTCACGCTTCTACTGCTCATGCGCTTTGATCCAGGCAGGAATCCTGTACACCTATCCCCCCCCCCCCCAATCCCTTCCAGAAAGCAGAGTTTTGCTACTGGGCTTCTGAAATTGATGAGGGTTAGGTTCTGCATCTATCCGTGAGGACTCCGAGAGAAGGAGCTAAGCATAGACCTAGGCATTTTAAAATACAGACCCCCGTCAAGGAACTTGGAAAGTTTGTCTTTGAGTGCAAAGGAGAGGGTCCGGGTCAACGCAGGAAAGTCTGCAGACTGCCTGGATCAGAGAAACTCCTAGCATAGCGAACCAGGAACCAGGGGCCGACTTTATTCTCTTTCGTTCTCTGGAATTTCCTCTCCCCCTTGTCTTTCTCCCCTTCATCCTCCTTCTCATTTCCCCCAAACCTAATCCACATCGACACCACACTTTGCCTTTCAGTTTTGTTTCTTTATTCACCCTCTTCTTCTACACTCTCTTCTCAATTAACCTTGCCTATGTTTCCCTCCTCTCGATGAACAGCACCCCGAAAGCAGAAACCCTAGAAACCCAGTCTGACTAGAGAGATTGCGCCAATGGACGGAATGAGGAGGGGAGAGGATGTCTTGTTTCAAACTCACTTTAGGCTGTCTCTTTTCATCATAACTCGTGTTTATTTACCTGAGAGTGTTCTGGGGGAGGCGGGAGAAAAGAAAAGAAAAAGAAAAAAAGGAAAAACAAAAAGACTCTGGACACACAAATACACAAATAGGAGGAACAGGTCTTTGCTCTGGAAGGTATGGGTCAGGGCGCTAATCTGGGGGTCCTGAACTCTGCAGTGATGCCAGACGATGTTTCTATGAATGGAGACTGGGATTACTCCCACGGGTCTGTGGCCACTTGTTGACAAAGCTTTAACCTTAGTGTTTGCTGTCTTTAGGATTCTGCAGAGGGGATACCATAGCTGACTGCATCCTTGGCCCTCAAGTCTAGAACTGCCATCACAGCTGGCCGAGGAAGACCAACTGAGGAAGATTCCAATTGTGGGACAATTGTCTGCCCCAGGTTCTGCTGCTTTCTTAGCCCAGGTTGCTGACTGCCTTGTATTTTTAAGGAAGAATTCCAAAGACTGAAAAACAACAACAGCAAAAACTTTAAGAGAAGTGAGAAGTTTGAAGAAATTACATAGAACACTAACAGAACTGATGGAAGTGCCCCTTCCCTGAGGATATTACATTCCAAGATTAGTGAATAAAGGGCTTTTGCTTTGTTTATTTTGCTTTATTTTGTTTTTGAGACAAGCTCTCATGTAGTCCAGGATGGTCTAGAACTTGAAAGGTTTGGAACTTCTGCTCCTGCTGCCACCATTCTGCAGGAGCTGGGTTCATAGATGCTCACCACCACCAATGAATTAATGTGGTGCTGCTAAAGGGACAGAGGACTCCATGCATGCTAAACAAGTCCTCTAGCAACTGAGCTACATTCCCACTCCATAAATAAGGCTTTAACATTTTTAATAATTGACTTATTTTCTAAAGCTTGGTACATTCTTCATTCATCCCTGCTTGGGGCAAGGGATTTAGCAAGGGATTAACTTCCACAATAATTTCTCTAGCTTTGAATAGCCTGTATCTCTCTGCTCTGCATTAGGAAGGACTTAGGCAATTACAAACAGATTCTGTGAGAGCACTCACGCACACACACACACACACACACACACACACACACACACACAAACACACACACACTAAGGAGAAGAGACATTTGATGTATGTTCCCTAAACCAAGACCTTTCAAGGCTATTTTAAAACTAGAATTCATCTCCTTTTCTGGCTTTCCCTCCCTCCCAATACTTCATTTGCTCCCCTTAAGTAAGCCCTTTAATGAGAGGTGCTTCTATTTGGTCCCTAGGCGGCTTCTTTTCCTTTTCCCTTCATCTTTGGACAGATGTAACCAAATTTCAGTGAATTTCAAGTATGACCTCTGAATTTCAAGTATGACCATGACACAAAATGAAGAATGTATTCAAGTGAGCCTGTCCTGAACCTCCAAAAGACTTAAAGCACAGCATACACGCTGAGCACAAAACTGTGTTCCTTACTATTTCTATCATCCAAACCTCAAAACTGAGATAGTAAACCTGAGTGTGGGGGCACTTGTACCATAGCCTAGAAATTAAAATTCCCCTTCTCTCACCTAAACCTAGGTGATATACAATTAATTGTTCAGGATGTGTCAAATTCTCAATCCATTTTAGTTTTTCTTAATTATTTTATTTAAACCAACATGGGTTCTTAATACTCATACTGTGATCCAATCCCCATTAGAAGCTTTGAATAACAATACAGACTGAACAGGGCATTTTTTTAAAAAAAGCATTTTCAGCTATTTTCAGAACCATTTGGAAACCTGGTGAGCATGCTGAACTCCCAACAGTCATGTGTTTGCTTCTCATTTTCACAGGAGAAGAAAATGTTAACTTTCCATTAGCAGGTTGTAGAGAGAATGATTTTTAAAAAATTCCAAGTTTACAGACCTCCTGAATTGTAAGTACTAACCTGTGTATCTGAAGACTAAGGAAATCCAGAGGTTTTATATACATATCTTGTTAGTATCCAGTCTGTCTGACTAACTTTGCCCTTGAAAAATTATGAAAATGTGTATGACTTTTTGTGCCAGCAGCAAAAGGGCAAACACATCTGATTCAGCCAAAAACACTGACAGTAGTCTGGCCCCATGGAGCTCCTTCCCAGATGCAGCCTTCTCTTCAAGCACTAAAAACATCTGGACCCATCCTGGATAGATGTTTCTTGAGTAGCCAGGGGTCAGGTGACCTGCAGGTCACAGAGGCTGCCTGATCCTTGCAAAGTTCTTGGAGCCATATGGTCCATACCTCGGTTGGCTAACCATAACAATGGGACTAGACATTCTTTTAAGGTCCATTTCCCCAGAGACAGAGATAAAGAGAAAACTATTTCTTGTGTCCATTTATATTTACTGACATAGAGCTATGATCAATTATAGAAGGAACTTCAAGGTGTATTTCAAAAATAAACTCAAAACAGTCCCAAGTTGATCAGAAATGACAAGATATAGAATACCAATGTTCAAGGGGTATATTTTCGTCTTTCCAAAGATATTTTTGATGTCTCAGAATACAGAGATCCCCAGTTTCAGAAACTGTCAATAGGTCAGAAGTGCTAATCTTCACTGTGGCTGTTTGCTTTCAGGAACTTCTTGCTTGATTTGAAAAAAAGGGGGGGGGAGGTGTTTTGGCAAATGCCACCCCCCTGCACTAAAGCTTTCAGGAGGGCTTATATGGAGAAGATTCTGTCAGTAGCCCTGCAACATCCTTCACCCTCTGAAATTCTCTGAAAAATTAATGCCCAGAATCATAAGTTGAGTATTTTTGCACACAATAGGCACTCATCAATGGCGTAAACAAATTATTTCTAGTTTACTTTCTAGAAATAGAGCAGTTGGTCCATCTGTTGGGACTCCTAACATCACTAGTTGAAATGTTTAACCTCTCTTCTTCGGAGGATGCAGATTATGCACCAATAGCTCGGTTATTTTTCCATCTTGATCTTTGAAACAATACAAAATTATGATTATCTCTTAACTCGACGGTCCATGGCTCAGAGCCAGGCCAAGCAGCCTCTGTCATCTGAATATTCTGCTGCTAGATCTGCAGCCACTTCTTGAGTTCTTCCCCCCCCCCATTTCTGACCACAGTGCCACTCAAAATTAGGTGTGTATTTCTGAAGAGGCTGTCCACCGATTTCAGGATTCCTGCAGTGGGCAGTATCTCAAGTCTTATGAAAAGAAACTATTTAAGCCCAGAAGCCTGCCATATGTCCAATCCCAAATTATGCAAATGAGATGAGGTCTGTCAGGTTTTTTTAGAAAAGGAAATTTTTGCTAATTATGGAAATTTGGGTTTTAATCATTATTAATGGATCTGAGAGTATCGAAGAAATACTTTGTTCTGCAAACTGTCTTATAAACAAAAGATTGGGGGAAGTTGCTAAAATCCCTTCCATGGTAGCATTAAGGAATCAAAATAACTGAATTTATATAATAATTGCATCTCTCTTTTAACTTCTGCCATAAAATTATCCCAAATAGTAGAAGAGAGTCATTTCCTAACTTTCTTAACTCTTGTTTAGAAGCTTGCCTTGCATACAAATAAGGGAACATCTTTAGAGTAAACATGTAGCTGTACAGTTGAAATGAGAAAATTTAGATGCCTGTAAGGGGGGAAAAGCCAACCCTAAATCCTATGCTTATTCTAAATGGAATATGAAATTAAATTCTTCACAATGAAGGTATTTCTGACAGAGTGGCTGTCAGTCACTCTTGGTTCACACACCACATTGTGGGAACATAGTCTCTGCCACATTGCAGAAGGCTGGTGCCCCTGGTAAAGAGGATGCATATCATGTAAACCCCATCACCAAGATCAAAGTCCGCTTCTTTCATGAAAGCCAATACATGTCAAACCTCATCCCAATCAAATTGTCTGGAAATGAATTCAAGATGAATATGTCATAGAATAATGTGACAGTGGAATTGCAGAAGGTCAAGGGTGGTTGTTTCAATGATCGAGTACTCAAATATTAATTCTAGAACGTCCAGATGAGTAGGCATTGAGGGCTAATCCTCAGGCTGCTGGTGGTATGTTTGTGTCACTGATTTGTGTGCAAATGCATCAAACACCAAGGTGTTATTCTAAGTTTCGTTAGAACTCTAGAGATGTGCCCAAACTCACATCTCAGTGTAACAAAATAGAAACAAATACGATTTATACGTAAAACACAAACAAGTAGAAAAAGTGCCCAATCTTCAGTAAATCTCTATTCATAATAAGACTTTTTCATTTATTTATTTATTTATACTTACTTGATTCTTTCAGGGTGTTTCTGTAAAGCCGTAATCGTTTCCTCATCACCAAGGAAGTCTTGTATTTCATTTTCTGAGTTTGAGCCTGCTTGAGAAGAAAAGGATTGAGTAAACCACTACCATACATGTCTCTGTGGCAAAAATCTGTGGCCTGAGTGTATGAAAGAAAGATGTTAGTCTGAGAACAATTTTTTAGCCTTTCTTTGATCATTTTAAAATTTGGAAACACAAGGGGAAAAAAGATTTCTAGGAACTGCTCACATTTCTTTTAAAATGAAATGGGTTGGTAATAAAAACATTGAAAAAAAACTTAATTTCACAGTTAGACCTTTTATCATTCATTGCTCTGCCTTGTAGGTAGAAGCATTCATAGAATGTCCAAAAATCCTTGGCTTCTAGAATTTGAAATTTTGTTTCAGAAAACTCCATTATTTCTTCAGGTTAGTTACTTACATTTGGTGAGGTGTGGCAGGGAGGGCCCTCTGTTCTCTAGGGGTGTGCAATTATGTCTAGTTATATTGTTGGAGTGAAGAAATTTGCAGATTTTCAAATCTTGCTCTGTCTGAAGCAGTGAACAATTCTTTATCCTTGCATGTTCCAGACCTACTTGAGAGCAGTCACTGACTCATTTTTTAAAGCTAATATTAAATCCACCAGATTAAAAATGCATTTTCTTGTTGTTGTTGTTGTTATTTGACGCCAAGTTGTCCCTTTTGTAGTTGAAAAGTTTAGAACAATGCCTCCCTCTCAAGATTGTTTGTCAGTGGCTGGAGCTCCCAGGCATTCGGCAACCATAAATCCTAGAAAGCATTCTGAGGACCTGTGTATCCACCAGACAAGGCTGAAGGCACTGGGGCAGTCAAACAGGCAATCTACCAAGCGTTGACCCTAAATTTGGTGAGGAAGGACAAACAGTCATTGAAAAAGGTCTCAGGCTGGGCAAACACAGCGAGACCTCAGTCAATGGGACGTCTGCCTGTCTTGACACTCTAGCCCACAGGACAAGTGGCTATTTAACTTTTTGACCCACAGGCTAAATCCAAGTGGGGCTGCAGCATCATATTCGGTCTCTGATCTCTTATGTTCCCCTCACCTCTAACTCAGACCCAAACTACCTTAAGATTCTCAATCCTTTCTTTTTCTTTCCCAGTCATGGGCCTGAGTATACTCACCATTCCCCCAGAGGAAACTGTTTTCATTCGTTCTAATAAACAACAAACAACAAAATCCTTGCATAAAGGTAACAAGCTCCTTCTAGCATAGACTAGGAGAGAAAGGAGGCCCAACTTTGCTTTCTTACAGAAGGGCAACGAGCTGGGTGTCCTTACTCTGAATGTCCTCATGGCGGGATATCTGGCACCACAGTTCCTGGTTGGTTGGCAATAATAGAATTTACTTGTTTGCTTCTGAGGAAAAGGGGTGTAAGTTTTCCGAGAAACTCCTGTCCACCCACAATGCTGGCACAACCCAATTTCTAGGAGGTCTGTGGCTGGTACCCTTACCCCCTACGATCATGTCCTTTAGGCATTACAAATGATTCCACAGACATGCAAGCAAATATTTCAAAGGTTGGACCAATGCAAACACGAGGACTCTTAAGTAGTTCTGTAGAAGCCTTGTGCAGGCAAATAGGGCAAACACCTTTGGTCCAAATTGGATACCACTTAGCCAGTGGGCTTTCTGAAAGAATAGACTGAGAAGACAATTTGAACATTGTCCCTGGACCCCTGAATCTGAGGTCCCCAGGGTAAGAGATCTGCAAAGCTCTTCAATTTCTCCAAAACTCTTGCTCCTGAGGTGACTACCAACTCAGTAAGGAGTACCACCAGGGTATATCCGAATCTTCCTTTATCGTGCACCTTGGGAGGGGAGGAAAGCGGTGCCAGGGAGCCTCACTGATGATAGAGGAAGAACATGGGATGGTTCATACAAGCAAAGGATGCAATTTTATTTGAGGAATCACAGAGACTGCCGGTTGTGAAGCGGATTTAGTCCACACAGGCCTGTTTAAGGTCAGAGGTCAACTAGAGCTAGTGACTTCAGTTCCACACTGATTAACTATCAGGTGTGAGTGAATACTTGCCGGCAAAGCTCGGCCCTGGCAGACTCAGAGCTACCAAGCCAAAGATGAAAGCGGCTGCTGGCCTTTGCTGGGATCGACCGCCAGCTGCATGCCCACCTCCCTGGCTACCTTCTACCAGCCCTGAAGCACCAGAAAAAGGAGTTGAGTGCTGGGTTGTAGCACCCCTTTTCTTACCCTTGTCCTCGAGAGGGTAGAGACCAGTTTCCCCTTGCTCTAGGCAGAAGGCTGACAACTGCGAATCACGTTTAAACTAGTGGGATCACCTGCAGATATGAATCTATCCTGGGCACTTAAGCCTTACTTTGAACATAGGAAGGGAAAAACACAGTGCCCCAATAACAGAGGTTGGAAATCAACGGCGAAGCCTTGACATCCAACGGTGGTTTCTGTAGACAGCTAATGCCCAGGACTTTAAGCGGTCCTTCCACACTCTCTCTGCATGTCTCCCTCCTGACCCTGTGAACCAACCATTCATCAACTCCAAGCTTTCAGATTGAACCAGGTAGCTAACTAACTCTTTAACATCCAAATCTGTTCCTTTCTCTTTTGCAAGTAATTTGATACATGCTCCTGGGTATAGGGTGCAGGCCTGCTCCCCAGACCTAACCGCAGCCCCGATTCACATCCGGGAGAAAGAAAGCCCAGTCGCGAACCCATGGCTCGTGGCGCGTACAGAGTAAATCCTAGAGTTAGGGTCCTGAGACAGAACCAAGTATGAGGGCGAGCAGGCAGCCGGCCCAGACAGCATCCTCAATGAGTATCCGGAGAAGAAGTTCTGTGATGTAGCCGCCCCGCCGTACTAACTTGACCCTGGCGGGGCAAACCGAAACCCTTCCTGTCATCCTTGCCGGAGGCAAACACAGAAAGGCTGCCTGCCAGGACTCCTTCATCAGCACCCTCTCGGTTCCCACCACGATCAAAAAGGGCAAAGCTTGGTCAGTATTGCCCTTCTTGTGCCCACGGTGGACACATCCAGGCAATTTACAAAAAAGAGGAGGGAAGACGGGCGGGCAACAAGCTGTTTTTGGTGCCATTGCCAGTAGGAGCCCCATCTGTCTTTCTTGCACCCACTCCTCCCGGGAGGAAAGAAAGGACTCATCTTCAACGCTGCCCTCGGCAGAAGGGCTCCTCCCCACCCCCTTTAAAATCAGTGGGGTGGGGCCTGTACCCGCGGTGGCCGTGTGTGTGTGTGTGTGTGTGTGTGTGTGTGTGTGTGTGTGTGTTAAGGTAGAGATGGAGAAAGAGTCTGACTGGGCCTATCTGCCCAGCAGGGTTTGGGTGCCTATGGCCCCCATAAGAGCACTTGCTAAAAGGCCGCAGGGGTATGGGTCTTCCCGGTATTACCCCCCTGGTTTCAAGCACTTACCCTGCTCCACCTGTTGCCCGGATCACCTCATTTCTGCACATCACTTTGGGGTGATGAGGGGGGGACTACACATCCCTCTAAGCCTCTTTTGTGGTTCCACCGAGGCGGTCATCCTTCATTTCTCCTTCTCCAGCTTTCGGGAAGGCAGTTAGGGAATGTATGATGAAGCAGAAACGAGCCGTCAGGATGATATTTTAATGGCTTATATGTCACGTTGGTGCATGTGGCTTTGAACCGGAGCCGCTCACGTTTCCTGCAGAGAGCGCCGCAAATCCCACTTGATAAGTTCTACAACCCACAACTTTTTATTCGCCTTCTCATGTTTACTCTTACCTTGTATGTTTGGGGGGGTTTCCTAAAAGTGCCCTCTGTCAACGTCCTCAGTGAATTTTCCACAGACTGCAGGAGAGAAACCTGATTTTCTTCTTTTTTTGAAGAATTATTTTCCCTCCCCTCTCCCAACAGCCACCCTTCCCTCAGGTCCCCTCCCTATTTTTTTTTTTTTAAACAGTCAAGGTGCGTTCAATATTTGTTCTCCCTAGTGAAAGACCAGCACAGCCTCTAGAGGAAACACCTCCTTGAATACACGATTTTCATAATTCTAGGATCCAACTTCCCCTTGAAAGAGCAAAAAGAACTGAATTGTTCTGGTATCTTTTTCCCCAAACAAAATATATGCTAGGTCCAAGAGAAATTCCTACCACCTTCTTCTCCAGCCCTTTCTGTCACTCATTGCTTGAATCCACTCAGATTACCTGAGAAGTGCTGAGGCCCTGGACACAGACTTGTTGCTGGGGGCAGAACATTCTTTATTCTTTCTTTTCCTGGAATTTCTGTTTTTAAGTCTCACAAACACAGATGATTAACGCAATCTCTTAGACACAGGGAAACCATCCTTAGCCACAATCTGACTTCAGAGCCAGAGATGGTGTGTGTGTGTGTGTGTGTGTGTGTGTGTGTGTGTACAGCCTAATTCCAGTTCACCGTGCCCAAACCAGAGTCTGGGAAGAAAATTGAGAAAACAGAAAGGAGGTTAGAAGTAACCAGTGCTGACCGTTTTTCCTCCAGCCCTAGGAAGCTAGCTGGCAAAGTGGAGAGAGAGAGAGAGAGAGAGAGAGAGAGAGAGAGAGAGAGAGAGAGAGAGA